AGTCAAAACTACTCCTTGATCCAGGGACTACAGAATGGATGCTGTGTTAGCAGGCATGGAAACAACATTCATCTCCTTGTATATCTCCATCAGAGCCCTTTGGTGACCAGGTGCATTGTCAGTGAGCAGTATATAATATTTTGAAGGAAATTGCTTTTTTCTGCGCAGTAGGTCTTAGCAGTGAGCTTAGAATGTTCAGTAAACCATGCTATAAACAGATGTACTATCATCCAGGCTTTATTGTTCTATTTATAGAGCACAAGCAGAGTAGATTTAGCATAATTCCTTTTCTCTTTTTTTTTTTTTTTTTTTTTTTAAGAGACAGGGTCTCACTATGTTGTCCAGGGTGGAGTGCAGTGGCTATTCACATATTCAATCATAGCCCACTACAGCCTCGAACTCCTGGGCTTACTCAAGCAATCCTCCTTCCTTCCCCTCCTGAGTAGCCCAATAGGCACCTGCCACTGAGCCTGGTTAGATTTAGCATAATTCTTAAGGGTGCTATGATTTTCAGAATGGTGAATGAGCATTGGCATCAACTTAGTCACCAGCCACACTAGCCCCTAACAAGAGAGTCAGCCTGTCCTTTGGATCTTTGAAGCCAGACAGTGAATTCTCTCTTGCTACCAAGGTCCTAGATGGCATCTTCTTCCAATGGAAGGCTTCCAATGTTTGTCTGCATTGAAAAATCTGTTGTTTAGTGTAGTCACCTTCATCAGTGATCTTAGCTACATCTTCTGGATAACTTGCTACAGCTTCTACATCAGCACTTACTGCTTTGCCTTGCACTTTTATGTTACAGAAATGGCTTCTTTAAACATCTTGAACCAACCTCCACTACCTTCAAACTTTTCTTCTGCAGACTCCTCACCTTCAGCCTTCATAGAATTGAAGAATTAGGGCCTTGCCCTGGATTGGGCTTTGGCTTAAGGGAATGTTGTGGCTGGTTTGATCTTCTATCCAGACCACTTAAACTTTCTCCATATCAGCAATAAGGCTGTTTCACCTTCTTATCATTCATGTGTTCACTGGAGTAACACTTTTAACTTCCTTCAAGAACTTTTCTTTTACATTCACAACTTGTCTGTTTAGTGCAAGAGGCCTAGCTTTCAGCCTATGTCAGCTTTTAACATGCCTTCTCCATTAAGTGGAATCATTTCTAGCTTTTGATTTAAAGTGAGAGACATGCAACTATTCCTTTCACTTGAACACTTAGAGACCATTGTAGGTTTATTAATTAGCCTAATAATAGGGAGGCCTGGGAAGAGGGAGAGAGATGAGGGAATGCCAACTGGTGGAGCAGTCAGAACACACACAAGATTTATTGATTAAGTTTGCTAGCTGTCTTATATGGATGCAATTCATGCCGCCCCAAAGCAATTACCATAGTAACATCAAAGGTCATTGATCACAGATCACCATAACAGATATAATAATAATGAAAAATTTTGAGATATTGTGAGAATGACTGAAATCTGTCACAGAGACACTAATTGAGCACATGCTGTTGGCAAAATGGCACCAGTGGACTTGCTCAGTGCAGGGCTGCCACAAACCTTCAATTTGTAAAACTGTAGATATGTGGCATCTACAAAGCAGAATAAAGAAAGCTGCAATAAAATGGGGTATTGCCTGTATGATGTTTTCAAGTTCCATCTATGTTGTAGCATGTATCAGTTCTTCTTTTATTGTCAAATAATAATCCATTGTATGGACATACCACATTTGATTTATCCATTCATCAGTTGATGGACATTTGGGTTGTTTCCACTTTTGGGCTATTAAGAACAATGCAGCTATGAACATTTGTGTACAAGTTTTTGTTAGACACATTTTGATTTCTCTTGCGTAGCAGTGGAATTGCTGGGTCATATTATAATCTACATTTAACCTTTTAAGGAACTGCTAGACTATTTTCCAAAGTGGCTACATAATTTTACATTCCCACAAGCAGCACATGAGAGTTCCAATTTCTCCACATCCTCACCAACCCAACATTCGTTATAATCTGACTATTAGATTGTAGCCATCCTAGTGGGTGTGAAGTGGTATCTCATTTAGGTGTTGATTTTCACTGAGATAACTTTTAAAAACTTAGATTAGCAAAAATTAGTATATTGAAAAAAACCCTATCTGGGCAAGACTTTGAGGAAACAAACACTCTGATTAGGAGTGTAACTTGGTACACATTTTATGGAGGTCAGTTTGATATATTAAAATGTGAAATATATGTAACCTCTGACCAGATATCCCATTTCCTAGTATTTGACCTAAGGAGAAAACCATATGTTGGGAAAACATGTATTGTCATATTGTTCTACTGTTGATGTTAATGGCAAAAACCACAATTACTTTTGCACCAACACAATAATCTCATTATATCAACAACTTTGAAACTAACTTAAATATCTATCAAGAGAAAACTGGTTAAATGAATTCTGATGCACACATAGAATATCTAAGCAATCATTATAAATCATGATGCAGGTAAAATATATTTTTATTTTCATGTAAAGCTATCTACCACATATCGAATGAGGGAAAATCAGGTTATTGAATATCTTCATGAAAAGATCCCACTGGTGTAAAATACCTGTTTGCCTAGAAAGATCTTTTGAGATGATGTCCAAAATGTTAACAGTGATTATATCCTAGTGGTCAAATTTTACATGATGTTTTTTTACTTTGTTCTTTGTATTTAATTTTGTTGAAAATCAGCCTCTATAATTTTTTGAGACAATTATAAAACTATTACAAAAGACTGCATTTTAGAAGTTACCTTTTTGCACTTAATCAAGGCTTAAATTTTAGTTAGATACTCTTTCCCTATCATTTCCTTTTAAACCTCAAGCTAAATGCATAAAGAAATTCACTATAGTAGTGATTATATTCACTTGGTGTAGAGCATTGTCTTATGCTCTTCCTTCAGAGACTTTTATTTATACTTTGGTCTTTATAGAGTTATTTTTATGTGGAGATATGACAGGTATTAGGATTTGGGGTTCCAATAATAGGAACAGGTCAAAATGGTTTTCCATCTTTCTGGTTATTGGGATAACCATTTTGGATTCACATATTCTCCCTTCCACTCTTCCATCCCTCTTTGCTGGAGAATAACATTAACAACAGCTTTCTTTTTCTTTGAGTTATTATGTGTTAGGAACCATTCTAAACATAGGCATGTATTTTACTCATTTAACTCTCAGGCCAATCCTGTGAGGTTGACAATACTGCAGTGATATTTTACAAATGAGGAGCGTGAGGGATAGAGAGGTTAAGTAACCTGTCCAAGGTCACTCCACAAGGGAATGGCAGAGCTGGCACTGGAGCCCAATAAGTCTGGTTCCAAAATATCTGTGATCTAAACTGCCACACTCCACTGCCTCTCTGACTTTCCTCCTAAATATGACTCCAAACACTTCTTGGAGGTTTTCCTTGTTTCTCCCCCAAGCTGTCATTCCTACCAGAAATGCCAGAGAGGCTGAGGTAGTGTGTACACCTGACTGGGCTTTCCCGCAACAAATGCTCTATGGAGACACCTCTTTGCTGTTTATATATTTACCCCCTAAATTTCTTAGGAGTTTACTTAACATTTCTTTGACATCCTCTTCTCTGAAACGTTTGGATTTCTTACTCCTCAAAGTTGGAGGATCATCTAGGGGGAAAGAATTAAGCCTTTTTTAGATGTTTCAATCTTGCATTAAGACCCATCAGCAGAGTGCTTGGTGCTGAGTCAGAGAACATTTGCTACCTGTGCCCAGGACTGCATGGTGCTCTCAGCCTCAGGAAGTGCAAGATGCCTGGTGCTCTGCCTGATCTTTGGGTCTGATTAATTGGGGGAAAACATAATTTTTATAAGGTTACAATTTATTCTAAGTATAAGGGTAATATATGCTCATTGTAAAATTTTGGAAGATACAAAAAGGCATAAAGAAAAAAGTTAAAAACACTTATAATCCTACCATCCTGTGATAACAACTAGAAACTATAATTTCCAAGCACGTTTGTCTTCTCTTTAAGCAATTCATATCCATTCATGAAGACTAAGTATTTGAAATCAGTGATTTATGGATGCTAATTTTAGAAAATGTCCATCCATGCAATTTAGCAGATAGAATTATTGCTAAATTTAAAGATGTACCAAAGTTGGTGAAATTAACATTTCTTAATCTTATACTCCAGTTTGATTTTATTTAACTGAAGAAAGACATAATTGAGGCCAGGCATGGTAGCTCACACCTGTAATCCCAGCACTTTGGGAGGTCAAGGTGGACAGATCATGAGGTCAGGAGTTCGAGACCAGCCTGACCAACATGGTGAAACCCAGTCTCTACTGAAAATACAAAAATTAGCAGGGCCTAGTGGCGTGCACCCATAATCTCAGCTACTCAGGAGGCTGAGGAAGGAGAATTGCTTGAATCCGGGAGGTGGAGGTTACAGTGAGCCGAGATCTTGCCATTGCACTCCAGCCTGATGATAGAGCAAGACTCTGTCTCAAAAAAAAAAAAAAAAAAAAAGACAGAATTGTGCATGTTTAAAAATATTAGCATGGAATCAAACAAAGAAATATAGTGACTTCAGTGGTTTTATTTGCTCCTGTGTGTGATCGTCCCATTTATTTTTGCCTAATATGGGCTGCATATATAAGTAAGTTTTCAACTGATACCAATTAATTTTATGTGCACAAGATGAAGATCTATTTGAAGTACCATCAAAATTTAACTTTTGATATTTGTGATTTTGGTTGTTACAGTTTTGGCTGTCTTGTGATCAAAATTTAGTATAATTTATTTAGGATATTTTTCTATTATCCTGGGGGAAAGAGTTATAAATCTCACCACTATAAAAATAACAACAATAAAAGACACTCATGACATTATTGTAATAACTATGTTGTTTGATTCAAGTTGAAATAGCTTGTACTGAACATTATTTTTAAAAGCCATTTCTTAAAAGAATAACTTCTATAATGAAAAGGTTTATCCTCTTGTGTTTTCTAGGTATCTGGCCATCCGAAGAGGTGTTGGCTTACTACTGCCTCAAGCACAGTAATATATTCAGGTACAGAGCTGCACTTAAGATATTTTTTAGCCCATCACGGATATTGAATCAACATATTAAAAATTGCCGTGATTACGTTCTTCAAATTAAATTGTTAGAAAAAAATAAGAAAAAGAAAAAAGGAAAACAGAAAGGAAGAAAAGGAAAACAGAAAGAAAGGGGGAAAAGTTCACAGTGAACACATGTTGCTTCTCAAATGAAATCTGAATCGCCTTGGGTACTAATATTGCACAGCAAGATTTTTGCTGTATGTCAAAGGCTTTTGATTTCCACTCAAGGCATTTTATTTCACTTTGATTTGGGGGAAACAAAAGTGAAGCTCCAATCAATCCTTACTGATTGTGAAGGTCAAAAAAAAAAAAAAAAACCAACCAAAGACATTCTTTAAACTTCTGCCAGGGAAGTCACTACAGAATGTCTGATAAATAAATACCTCACAGCTATTATTTAAAGATGCCATCCCACCCCTGGTTTTAAAAGTATTTTTATATATCTAACAATATGTATTTGTGAACTATAAATTAGCATTATGAATTCATGCTACAGAAATAAGTGTTTTCAACTGTTAGTGTGCATTACAGATCAAACCCATGGATGGAATTCAGGAAAAAAAAAAAAAAATCATTTGAAAATTCTGAAGATGTTTGGTAGACCCAGAAAATATAGGTTTTTCATTTTAATTATCATTTTATAGAAGTCATTCAATATATACTTCCTGAATAGCCCATTATTATTCCAGATGAGTCACTAGTGATCATAGCGTGTGTTTTAACAGTATGTACTTACAAGATTGGGTCAGTAATATGTATTTTTTTAAGCTCTGTGCGTCCATATTTACCAACCAGTCTATAATTGCTTTGAACAACCAAACACTCATTAAGTGTGTTTTGAAATATTAATGTCCTTGCTTGGCTCCTTCTTCTCCCTTTCCCCCTCTTCCCACCTCTCCCTCCCTTTTAATTTCGCTGTTTTTCTCCTCTTGAGGTAATAAACTTCCCAAACTGGGAAGAGGAAACAGTCCTAAGAGTCTAAGCATATAAATAAGAACAGGGCAATTTTGAATGTGGGCTGCAGAGCTGCCCTGGAAGTCTGGCGTTTGCTCATCTCGCTGTGCTTAAGCTTGACTGGAGCTCCAATCAGCGAGCAGTGGGCCAGGGCGAGAATGTCACACGTTGAGGGCTGATATTTAGGCACAAAGGGGAAGGTAAGTGCAGAGTGCCCCCCTAGACTGTCAGCTTTAACTCTGAGCTGCTCTACTTTTGAGCTGTGAAGTCAGAGCCCAGTCATTACTTTAGCCTGGGTTTGCTGGCTTAACCATATTATGTCCCTGCATTGTTTATTCACTGTGTTGTGTTGGGGTCAATTGTAATTTAAGTGTTAATTGCTAAATACTCTTTGTGTAATTGTTCTTTATGGAGACTGTTCAGCTTTCCAAAATGTTTCAGTTTGTTTTAGAATTTTTTTTTTAAATTCAGGAGTGCATCTATTTATTTTGTGTGTGTTGTGTGTATGTGTCTATAATATAGGTATATACACACTCACATATATTCTTCATTTACTTGTCTAACTGTTTTTGAAGGAATGAATGTGGATTAACAGTGTTATCCTTTCCTAACAATTATCTTTCGCTACTCTAGCTAGTTTAGTTCTAAAAGACAGCGCCATTGACAAGGGAAAAAAAGGGAACCTTCTCAGATTTTTCAGCTCAGCGGTGGTAATGTTGCAGTGAACACTAATGAGGGAACCCCCACTGATTTGCCTGCTTTGTGACTTTTCTATTTCATAATTATTTTTAAAACGCAAAACGACATGAGGTAGCCTAGTCATGTCTCCACAACTTCCTGGTAGCGCCGTTCTTACTGCAGATGGCAATTTGTTCTTGTAACATATATCTCTCTCTGACCATTTTCATCTAATTTGTATGGGTTCTACCATTTCTTTTCTCTCTTTCAGGGCCCTTGCTGTGTGTGAGCTAGGGGGTGGCATGACATGCTTGGCTGGGCTCATGGTAGGTCTTTTCTCCATTCCAATCCCATTCAGAGGGAGGAACAAAAGGAAAAATGTTCCAGGGCCTCCAACTGCTGGGTCAGAGAACCGTCAACAGCATCAGCTGCGGTCAAGCTGCCGGGTCTTGAGAGACCTTCTAGATTGACTTACTTTCGGATCATATTGATTTTATGGTTGCCTCGATGAGCAGAAACATTTTACCTCAGTGTAGTCAATATTGCTTGTTGTGACATTCCAGGCCTCGCACAGTCTTTCTTTGCCATAGCGAAAGCATCTTTTTTTTTTTTTCAGATTATAGTCCCATTTGCTAAGATACAGGAATAGCCCGGCGAATCACAGTTGGAGCACCATGATATAGCTGCTAATGTTTTGCCTGCATTATTACACCAACAAACATGATCCAGAGCGCTCAGTAATTAGATTCTTTTGAATTAGATTGGCCATTCAGGAACGTCGTTCCCCATTCTCTGGGTTCTGAGTCATGTATTCAGGAGATATTATGTAGCAGCACAGTGCATTAGACAAGTTTTTATGTCTCTACAAATAAAAGCATATTGTTACACTGATTGGCATTTGACAAACCTGTCGCTCTTATACAATGTGTCGAGGTTACAGCCCAATGTGCGAGCATGTCAAAGCTCACAAAAAAATTACCCTCACAAAGCCATCTGCCTGCAATGCAAAGTTATATGAAGGGCATCAGGCAGTCAGACAGAAGCAAGCTGAAAGGCAGAGTGACAGCCTTGTATGATGGCTCTACTAGATAAACAGAAGCCCACAAATGAAAGCCTCTCAGAATACCATCATCCGCTGTCACAATGCAATTACCGAACAGAATGATAGCAAGATAGAGGCTCCCGCAAATGGAATGATAAAAGTATTGACTGATTTGATTGAATGATTAAAATAATGCAGACATAAAATGAAAAAAGATTGAAGATTGTTACAGAGAAATAGGTGAGGAAGCATGATACTGAAGGCTTGTCACTCCTGTCTTCACTTCCACACAGACAAGCATATTTGCTCATTGTTTGCTGTGCTCCCTTTTTTTTTTCAGGTTGCTATTTCTGCAGATGTCAAAGAAGTTCTGTTAACTGATGGGAATGAAAAGGCCATCAGAAGTATCCTTATTCAGATAGAAAACGGGTTTGTTGTGCTCATTCCTTTTTCCCGGCTGAGTAACAATTGATATAAAGAAAGACAGCATGGGGTATTAAAAGAGAGCTTCCTCCCCCACATACATGATAAGTAATTAAGAAAAAGTAGAAATATATGAATTCCTTGCATACGACTCCGTGGGTTTTTTTCTTTCCATGGATTTTTATAGACATCTCTCATTAAAGGGGCCTATGTTTTGTAGACCTCCCGAGGCAAGAAGAAGATTTGTTTCATAATTTCCAAGCATTCTTGTTCTTTTATTTCCATTGGAATTTGCCAGTGTAAAATAAATTATTTGGTATTTATTGTATTTGGATATTGCTGGCAAATATTAACTTCCAGCTTCATGTTTGTTATTACCTTTATGCACTTGATATTGTATGTACTGTGTAATATTGTGCCTGCTCTAATTGCTGAGGGGTTACCTATATCCCCCACTGGAAACAGCTGTCAGTTCTTCATTATTTCCTTTTATTTAGGACTTTATTTAGGATTATACATGCTATCTCTGTTTTTCTGCTATGCTATTACAGTTCAAACTCCATTAGATTATGCTTTGCTAATATGTACACAGAGTTCATGAAAATTGAACTGTACTTTAAGAAAGTAAGCATAATTTGTGGCTACTTTAGCAGTCGAGCTGATTTGTTCAGGGGCAGTTAACAGCCGTTAGAAACTGAGAGGAAAAGTGGAAGATATGTTTGCTTTGGATTTTTTTTTTTTTTTTTTTGGTGTGCCTTACATTTACATTATGAGGGAGACAATCTACTGATTTGAATTTTAAGCTCCTAAACTGCCAAAGCAGTTTTGATTTCTGTGGCATCTTACATACAATCTATTTCGGATTTTCTTTTTTGACTTCTGCCATATGATTTTTTGAAAATATGCAGCAGCTTCATCAAGCTGCTCAAACAGGAGAAAGGAGGTACGAGAAGCACAGTAGCTAATATTGTTCAGTAACACTTGTATGCTCTACCGAGCCCCACCCAGCTAATTGCCTGACAGACTTAAAAAAAATTCAGGAAGGAAAAACAGCCAATCACAATCTTGGCCTTTCACACAAGGGAAAGAGATCACAAAAGGTGCTTCCTTTTTTAAAATGCAGGATTTTAATCACGTTCTTGAGACTGTCTCAAGTTTTTCAAAATATTCCTGAAGATGAGCGGATGTTGTTTCATTCACTCTGCTTTATTCTGAGTTATTTCATGCACGTATCCATGTATCATTTCACTGTGCTCCTCCTCCTTATGTCAGGGAATACAGAGCAAGAGGAAGCTCAGGTATGCCAGCTCAGCCCCAGCGCATTTTTAGAGGGTGGGGGGAGCAGGATTATTGGACAAGAGAAGATTATTTTAGCCACAGAAACTTTCAGCTTGGGCCCAGTAACCTAAGGTTTTTTTCAAGTCAGCAGGTGTCTTATTTAATAGCATCAGAAACCAATTAGAACTTTTATCAAACTATGGGAAACATCTGTAGTCAGTATGTAAATCTATTTGTTCTAAAATTATTATTGAGCTAAACTACAGAGCTTCCAAAGAAAGGAAGCAATGCTAATGTCATTAATTAACACACCTTTGCTTTAAACAACAAAGATGCCATGCCAGCTTTTGAAATCAGAGAGGAAATCTCAGATTCTGTATTCATTCTGCCGGCCTTTCAAAGAAATGACTGGTACAGCCCCCTCCCAAGAAAATGGATTTTTAACATTTGGTCCTCAGAAGCTCAGCCCTGAGACTGCTTTATTGTGCTGGGTTTTACAATGGGTTTAATATAGCGGGGTGCCAAAGGGCAGGAGGGGAAGAACTTTACAAAGTAGATAAAGTAGGTCTTTTCAGGATGCAGACCAAAATTGGTAGTGTTTTATTTCATCTCTTAGGACTTTCCTGATGGAGTTCAGTTTTTACCATGCAGTTGTTAGAACATAGAACGCTATGTTTGTGTGCCTTTTTCTGTTGTAACTAGATCTAATTTTTTTTAATTAAGAGAAAAAGCATGCATAAAGCCTTAAAATTGGCAATGTGTTTTTCCTGCTTTTAATACTAATGCTATTCTTGATTTGCTAACAGAGCTTACAATTGGTATTCGTTGTCATCTGTTTCACTGACTGAGGTTAATATGAATGATTTTTTTTTTCTATTTGTGTGCCCACTTTCTGTAAGAATAACTAATTCACTGAATCACATACTATTGATGCATATAGATTGAAACAAACTTATTTAAAAATTACTGTTTACATCTTTCTTTTAAAATTTTAGGAAGCCTAAATTATATAGCAGTTGTAGGATATTATTCAAAAATTACTTTCTAAAAAGTAAAAGTGGATGCCAACAAAAAAAGGGGGAGAAACATTGCCAGAAGCCAGAAAATCTCTTAGTAAAGCTGCTAATTATTCTTAATGGGCAAGATGAGCACATTAAGAAACAAATGAATACATCAGTGAAATGTAATTGAAAATCGACCTGGCAATGGCATATCACATCTGAGTATTGGCCTGTATATTATTCTTATCATTTTAAAAATTGTTTTTGTTGTTCTTGGCTTCTGTATTTAATGAATCCAGCTGAATCTTCTCAGTCTCTTAAGCTTCTAAGATTCTGATTTTTACCTCTTAAAAATAGCATTTCGTGATATTTCCTTTTAATTTTATATTATTTCTATTTGTTTTAGTATGTGAGGCAATGAATGGATTGGTTCTGAATCTTTATATTACAGAAGCATGTCAACCAGTTTTGAGGTTATTTATTATTTCCCTAAAATATATCAAATGGATTGCCTATGTCTTCTTGAGTTTTCCATCTTGATTCTGAAAAGCTAGATATTGATCTGAGATTTATGAAACAGAGATGTCTGGAAAGATATTAAGACTTGAGGTAAAAATGAATTTTTTAAGTCACAAATATTTTCTTAGATTCATGGGTAGTTTTCCCTAAGGCCTCCTTGGTCTCCTTAAACTGCATTGCTGGGTCTATGAACCCAAAGCCCCCACACCTGAGAGCTGCTCTTCCCTACAGATTCCATTTTCTCTGTACCCCAAGAGAACAAAGGATAAATTAGAAACGGGATCATTTCGTTTGTCCAGTTATGAAATTTATTCCAAAATAGTGTGAAACGTGTTCCTTTTCTTTTTCTTTCTTTCTTTCTTTCTTTCTTTTTTTTTTTTTTTGTGGTAATGCCCCCTTAGTGTCAAGAAAGAAATCTTCAACAGCCCACATATAATAATTACTCCATAAGGTTTGTAGCTTGTGATAACAATGACCTAGGAATAGGAGAGACACATGGTATACTGAGCTATTATTGATACTAAGCCTCTTCTAAATTATGATGAATAAAAGTAGAACTCCTGAAGGTAAGCATCCCTCTCTGGCTACAATCACTAATGTGCCCAGCACAGGCGCCCTGCCTTAATAAACATTTGGCAGTTCTATGCAGAAGATTCCAATGTTTGGTGACCCATTTCTCTGTAAGCATCTTATCCCCATAGTATGCACAGTGTGGGTCACAGATCTTGAACTTAGGATTCTCCAAAAATGGGTAAATCTCCTGTGCTTTTTAAAGGAGACACCCCTGGTTTAACATTATTTTTATTTAATAGAATCCCTGACTTGAGTAACTAATGAGTGAAGCTTCATGTGAACTGTGCAGCCTGTACTATAGATGGTTGACAACGTGGAAATCCCGGGCCATCTTCCTGTGTCCAGGCTTCTTCTTCCAATGCTGGCTGTACTTCCATCTACTGATGAGTCATAAGTAAACTCTATGTGCCTCACATTGGGTAGCAACTCAACAAATATCTATTTTTGGAATTAAATTAAAATTAATTCAACCAATATTAATGGCATGTCATTACAGGTGCTAAAGATACAATAGTGAACAAGATAGGTCTAGTACCTATCCTTGGCTAGAATACATTTATACACATGAAGGGCAGAAGTCCTTTGATAACTTTGGTTATTTAAATTCTACAGTATAAATGTTCACATAATTAATTCTAACTTTTTTTTTCTTTTTTCTCCTTTTTGTGGAGAATGGGGTCTCAGGCAGTCTTGAACTTCTGGGCTCAACAGGCGTGAGCCACTGTGCCCGGTTAAGGTAATTAATTCTAAGCAGCAGGGAAAGAAAATAAAGTGTAACTGCCAAACCTCATGTTAGTTACTTTACCAGCCTCTTCATCCTACCAAAGCTTTTGCCTAAATTATACACTAAGGTAATGAATTGGCATGAATTGGGCACCTACTATGTGCCAGGCCTATCATATGTGATACTCCATTAAGCCTAACAAATAGGTATCATTATTTCTGTTTTAGAGATGGATCTCAGAGAGATTAATTTACCCAAGGACACACAGCCACCAAGTATCAGAACCAGCACTAGAAGCCAGGTTCATTTGACTTCAAAGCTTATGTTTTTTCCACTTAAACCATTCTGGGTCACCAAAAGCTAAAATGATTTGGTGAACCTCATCTTGCATTTTCTTACCATGCTCTGGAAATAAAGGCCTCTCATCCATAAACATAACAATTGGCATTGCTAACAGAGTTTATAGTACCTCTATGGCATCTTCTCAATTCATATGAGTAATAAGCACATTTAAGAATATTTTGCAGCCTTAAATTAGCAAATATTGCCACATTAAGCATTAAAAAGAAAAATCTTGAGAGATCAAAATGAATAGGGTTTATATTATAATCTCATAGTTTCCTACCCTCATTTTTGGTATTTTGGTATTCCAGCGAAAATAAAGATAACATAAACCAAGAAAGTGGTGCTTTATGAATCACAGTGTTATTATTTTTAAAATATTTTCTTGCTTAAAGAACATGACAACTCTCAAAATGTATATATAACTACTGGTAAATAATTGCTAATTGCAGGAGGAGGCTGATATTTTTAACAATATGATACATACATATAACATGTATATAATTTGTTTAAATTACTATTATATAAAACTATTTTTTAAGAATAAAAATCAACTGAAACAAAATTGAAATGGAGCCCTACCTCTGAACAGGGCTTTATTTGAGAAGAAAACCTAGAGATAGAATTCCGGTTTCCTTTTAGCCACAAACATATATCCTGTAGCTCTGGAAGTCCAGTTGCCTAGACAAGGGAATTGGAGGCAACTACTCTGTATTCATTTAATCAGAAATCACATTGAGGCTTTCTTTGCACCCAGTCCCTCCCACTGAAGTGCTCCAGAAGGTGGGTGCGGCTCAGAGAACACGATTTGGCCCGTTGTGTTGAACACTATCTTGGACATATTGACTCAATGTGATTGGATTTCCTTTATTACCCTGAGGTGACACAGAAGAATGATAAAATCTATTATTGGACACAGTGCCATCCAGAAGAACCATCAAAATCTGACCTAAAGTAAAGGGTGGGGAGCAGGAGATCTGAGTTTATCTCTTAAGGTAATATTTTAAAATACTGTTGACATTTTTTCTTCTCATGCTCATTTTAATATTTAAAAAAACCTCTTAAACCACAAAACATATTTCCTTCCAGTTCTAAAAATAAAGCAGCCTAAATACTGCTGTGGATTTTTTTTTATTTAAAAAATTGCTTCTAGAATATAAATACATATGTTTGCTTCAGCCTGACCACCTGGAGTCACAGGTTTATAAATTGTATAAAAGTATATAGTGTTAAGATGTTTACTAAAAATTATTAATAGGTTTTCTGAGTTATATAATTTAACTTCCCTGAGACTATTTTATAAAAAGTATTACCTCCACTAACAAAATAATATGTTTTGCTTGATAGATTAGTCATGTACTCATATGACTCTACAGGTGTACCGGGCACATTATGGCATGCGGCTGGATGCCATGGAAACTCTAAGGAGGGTGTGGCCAGAGTGTGGGGGAACTTAATCAAAAACAGTTGTCAGCTGACTCTTTACTAATTTTGTTCTTCTCAGAATAAAGATGTCAGCTGTCCTTTTCTGCAAGACATTTCATTTAGAAGACTTTCCTGAAATACTTTCTTCCTGAAATAGACAGAACTGTAGGCCGATGTGTCATTTTAGTTAATCAAAACAAGTAGGCAAATTAGTCTCTTTTATTTTTTTAATGAATGTAATTTAACGGTATTTAATTTGCATACAGGAAAGTTCACCCAGGAAAAAAAAAAAAGTCTGCATTATAGCACTTTTGTAAACCTCAACAAAGCCCTTTATTAGGAGACCTAATTGATTTTTCCTACCCACCCCTGGGGGAAGAAAGCTATCACAGTACCTGCTTATTCACTCAGAGAAGAAATGGGTGTGCCTGGTGGTTCAAGCAGAGATTTGGGTTAAAAAGTCCTGTGGCTCTGTTTTTGCAGGGAGATCTTGGTCAATGCTTGCTTTGAGCATGCAGGAAACCTGTTTTTCTGAGCAATAGGAGAACATCGCTTGTCTGCTTGGTGTCCTCCCCATGGGCCCAATTTAGTTCAGCTTGTAGCCTTCACTGGAATTATTTTATTTCTTGACTATTTAAACCTGCCTTATTCCAAAAGAGGGATTTTGAGGCTTGTTACCGTGACACATAGAATATACCATATAAAATGAATAGGAAAGTGAGGGCAGTTGGAAATTGGAAAGCCAGGAAAATATGATGAAGCCAGGAATAGAGGTCAGTAGAGAAAGTATATGCAACAGGGTCTCTTGTGGTTGTTAGAGTTAGGCCACACATTTGGCTCTGAGTTGCACAGGTGCTGGAGCAAAGAGAAAGAGAGGATCAACTCTAAGAGTTATCATGCCGGGAAGTGGAAGCAACATCCCTTGATCTGCAGACCAGCTTTTCCGGGTGCTGAAACCTGACAATTTTTTCCGATGGGCCCTTGTAAATATGGCACTGGGTGATGTAATGAACCAGCTCCTGAAAACATGTCTTCCATAAATATGGCTCTTTTGTACAAGTCCTTCCATGCCAAAGGCCATAGCGTAAGTCTGTAAAGACAGTTCTTCAGGGGACTTTTCACTGAACTGACTTTCTTCAGTAATTCATTTTCTCTCAAAGATTCTCCAAGATTTTCTCCATCTTTTTCTACTCACTTCCTCCCAAGTCTCATCCTGCTGCTCCTCTCCACCCCTCCCTAGTAGCATTTAGGAGATTGGAAATACTTCACACTGGAAAGTCTCGGGAGACTGACATTGCCCTCCCTGCTGACAGAGAGGCTTGCCTTTGGACTCCTTGCCCTTTTAAGCAAGTAGGACATGGCACCTATGGGACAGTCATTTCCCATCAGCACTCATAACCCTAGGGCTTGCCATGATGATCCATCTCAGGTGATAAAATGCAGCCCAGGGAAGCGAAAGAGCTTGCCTGTGGCAAGTCAGCATCCTGCTTCCCACCCCACATGCAGCTCTTCTCCTTTCACAGTACTCATCCCATGCATGATAAAAAGATTGGCCAGGCGCAGTAGCTCACGCTTGCAATCCCAGTATTTTGGGAAGCTGAGACAGGTGGATTACCTCAGGAGAGGAGTTTGAGACCAGCCTGGCCAACATGGTGAAGCCCCATCTCTCTCTAAAAATAGAAAAAGTAGCTGGGTGTGGTGGCTCATGCCTGTAGTTCCAGCTACTAGGGAGGCTGAGGTGGGAGGATCACTTGAACCCAGGAGGTAGAGGGTGCAGTGAGCCGAGATCATGCCACTCCAGCCTGGGCAACAGAGCGAGATAAGAGTTTCTGGACTTTTTTTTTTTTTTTTTTTTTTTTCAGTCAGTTCACAATCACTGCAGACATTTTCTTAACTGTGTCCTGTAGATGTGCAAGACATCATCACAAGGAATCAGAAGGCTGGTGTTTTTAAGACCCAGAAAATATCAAGCTGGTAAGATACCTTTCTGCATTAAAAAAAAACTCTGATTGAAATTGTTTTTCTTGATACTATGGATGGTTATTAAAAATAATAACAGCTAACATTTATTGAGCACTTACTGTGTGTCAGGCACTGTTTTAAGCACTTTACAAGTATTATCTCATTTAATGCTCACTAGAATACTATGAAGCAGACAAACACTCTCATTATCTCCAATTAAGAGATGAGAAAACAAGGTAAGTATATTAAACACTGGGTAGGGGATGATTTATGATTAGACAGTATGAGGCTGGGAGAAGCCAGGCCTGGGAACTCCTTAAATGGCTCTCTTCCAGTGAGTCTCAGCCTAGGAGCAGTTTTGTCCCCAAGGGGACTTTTGGCATTCCCTGGAGACATTTTTTTTGTTGTCATGACTTGGTAGGAGAGTGGGGAGTGTTGCTACTGGCATCTAGTGGTAGAGACCAGGGATTCCACTGAACATCCTATGTTGCATAGGACGCCCCCATACAACAAAGAAACATCTGGCCCAGAATGTCAATAGTGCCAACATTGAGAAACCCTGCTGTGTTCCATGATTTTAAAATAGTCTAGGTGTCCATTCCCTTTTACGTTCTGTTAATTCTTACACAAACTAAGAGGAATGCTTGCTCTTAACCAAAACAATGGTGTGTACTATGATGCTACATTTTATTTTTGCCCTGTTGGTAATGGATCTAGAGAAGCGAGTAATCATTTCATAGTTTTCACATGAAATATCTGTATTTGTGTATTTTTTCTCATTCATTTAACCACAGACTTTATTAGAATAACTCCATGTTAAATTAATTGTTTTCTTTATTACTGTGAAGCTGTCATCCTTTGGTAGTTTGAATTTTCCCTATTGTGAAGACACTTTCCCACCCCAACTTCCCAGTCTGATTTTTTTTATTAGTTATATAAACTATTCATTAACAGACAAGGCCTACAGACTTATTTCTCTTGGACACACCCACGGTACAGCCCTGGCGGCCAGTGGTCTGGGTGTGCTGGCCTCAGAAACGAAAATAGCTACAATGCTTAAAAACCAAAGTGACGACACATATTGGTGTGAGGCTATGCAATAGCAATGATTTTTTTCTCTTATATTAATTGGTGAATGTAATGAAGTGTCCATATATGTATTTTTATTTTTTTATTTTTTTTATTTATTATTATTATTATTTTTATTATTATTATTATACTTTAAGTTCTAGGGTACATGTGCATAACGTGCAGGTTTGTTACATATGTATACTTGTGCCATGTTGGTTCCTGCACCATCAACACGTCAGCACCCATCACATCGTCATTTACTCAGGTATAACTCCAATGCAATCCCTTACCTTCCCATGATAGCCTCCGTGTGTGATGCTCCCCTTCCACCGAGTCCAACAGTGATCTCATTGTTCAGTTCCCCACCTTATTTGAGTGGAGAACATCGGTGTTGGTTTTCCTGTTCTGTGTGATATTTGCTAAGAATATGGTTTTCCAGCTGCATCCATGCCCTCATAAGGACACAAACTCATCCTTTTTTAGGCTGCCATAGTATTTGTGGTGTATATGTGCCACATTTCTTAATCCAGTCTGGTCACTGATGGACATTCTGGGTTTGATGTCCAAGCCCTTTGGCTATTAGGTGAATCAGGCCACAATAACATACGTGTGCATGTGTCTTTATAGAATCATTGATATATAGATCTTTGGTTATATACAGTAATGGGATTGCTGGTCATATGGTACATCTAGTTCTAGATCCTTTCTGAGGAATCGCCAT